TTTGTAACATACTGGTCTCCCTTTTACATCTATTTCCTCCCTTATTTTAAATTACCTGTCTTAACTATCTCTAACACTCTTAGAAGAAAATGATCCTTCATCTCCTTCAATTCGCTCCTATCTTTGATGTATTCAACTGTGGAGCTCCTTGCACTGCGAGATTCCCCCCTCTCACATGTCTGGCCCTCTCAGTTATCAAGGGCCGCCCTTGAGGACGGGTTTTGGAACCCCGAGAGGTGGTTTGCAAAAAACCGACGGCTTTAGGGTTTTTTAGATAAATCTTTAAGTTCTATTTTAAGGGGTTCTGGGAGGGATTGTGGGAATGGATCTGGGGGGATCCATAAATCCACTGAAAGGGGTAATGGGTTTGATAATCATGGTGGGGAGGATGGGGACAGAAATCTGACAAGGATGCAGGGGGATGAAGCGATGGGCATTAGTATAGTAAGTGGGAGGGGCAGATATGATGGCTGCAGGGGGCCATATTATGTTTCGGGAGTGCGCACTCGATGTTTACGAGCGATTGCCCACTCCGACCCCCAAAGCACTGCTCATTTCCCGGGTTGTTCAAAGTCTCAGACCCTGGGTCTACGGCTGATGTTATGTAATGCCAGGTCAGTGGTAAATAAAGCCCCCCTCATTCATGATCTTATTTCAGAGGGGGGTGCTGACCTGGCAGGGATTACGGAGACCTGGTTAGGCCAGGAGGGAGGAGTTCCCCTTGTGGAAATGTGCCCGCCAGGTTTCCGTGCATTCCATCAGCCAAGGACTCAGGGAAGGGGTGGGGGAGTGGCAGCAATCATTAGAGAAAGTCTTTGCCCGAAGGAGGCCACTGTTCCTCAGATAGCTGGATGTGAGTCCCTCCTTGTGAAGTGGGGTCGGGGGATTCAGATGGGCCTACTGATCGCGTACCTGGCTCCCTGCCACGTAACAGCGGTCCTGCCTGAGCTGCTCAACATTATAGCCAGGGTGGAGGTGGAAACCCCCAGACTTATTGTTATGGGGGATTTTAACCTGCCATCTGCTGGTGAGATGTCGGAGACGGCTCGGGAGTTCATGGCTTCCATGACGGCCATGGACCTGACCCAGGTAGTTCAAGGCCCCACCCACTTGGGGAATCACACTTTGGACTTGATTTTTGTCTCTGATCAGTGGCTGAATGATCTAGGAATAGGGGATATAGACATCAAGCCCTTGTCATGGTCTGATCATTCTCTTCTTCACATGGACTTTCAAGTCACTTCCACCCACCGCAGGGAGACGGAACCAACCAAATGGTTCCGTCCCAGGCGCCTGATGGACCCCGAAAGGTTCCTGATGGAGCTTGGGCCATTTCCTGAGACTCTGGCTCACGACTCGACTGAGGACCTGGTGGTCGCTTGGGACAGGGCGGCTACTGGGGCCTTGGACCGCGTCGTGCCTTTGCGGCCTCTGACCCGATGCCGATCTCGTCTAGCTCCTTGGTTTTCCGAGGAGCTGAGAGAGATGAAGCGTCGGAAAAGACACCTGGAGAGCAATTGGAGGACAAGCCGATCTGAATCTGACCGAACACAGGTGAGATCTTATATTAAGACCTACCTAGTGGCGATAAGAGCGGTGAAGTCTAGCTACTTCTCCGCTCTTATTGCATCTGCAGAGAACCGCCCAGCTGCGCTGTTTAGGGTGACCCGTTCCCTACTTCAGGTGGGGGTACGGGAAGATCCCTTAAAGGGTCGAGCTGAGGATTTTGTACAATTCCTGCATGATAAAGTCGCTCAGATTTGGGAAGGCCTGGACTCCGATTGGGTAGATCCAGGGGAGGAGACGGGGGCAGGTCTTGAGAGCGTTATCTGGGAAGAGTTTGACTCTGTGGCTCCTGAGGACGTGGACAGGATTCTGGGCAAGCTTAACGCTGCCACATGTTTATTGGATCCATGTCCCTCCTGGTTGGTACTGGCCTCCCGGGAGGTTACACGAGGCTGGCTCCAGGGGATTATAAATGCTTCTCTGAGTGAGGGTGTCTTTCCCACCGCCTTGAAAGAGGCGGTTGTGAAGCCCCTCCTCAAGAAGCCTTCCCTGGACCCGGCTATATTATCAAATTATCGTCCAGTCTCCAATCTTCGCTTTGTTGCGAAGGTTGTTGAGAGTGTGGTGGCGCGACAACTACCCCGATACCTGGATGAAGTTGTCTATCTGGATCCGTTCCAGTCGGGCTTCAGGTCACGATACAGCACAGAAACGGCATTGGTCGCATTAGTGGATGATCTCTGGAGGGCTCGGGACAGAGGTTGCTCCTCTATCCTGGTCCTATTAGATCTCTCAGCGGCTTTTGATACCATCGACCATGGTATCTTACTGCACCGGCTGGAGGGGTTAGGAATAGGGGGCACCGTGCTTTGGTGGTTCTCCTCCTTCCTCTCTGACCGTTCGCAGTTTGTGTTGGCAGGGGGGCAGAGGTCGACCTCGAGGCACCTTATTTGTGGGGTGCCGCAAGGGTCAGTCCTCTCATCCCTTCTGTTCAACATTTATGTAAAACCGCTAGGTGAGATCATCCGTGGTTTTGGGGTGAGTGTTCATCAGTATGCTGATGACACACAGCTATACATCTCCACCCCAGACCACCCCAATGATGCCCTTGCTGTGATGTCCCGTTGCCTGGAGGCCGTGTGGATCTGGATGGGGAGAAACAAGCTCAGACTCAACCCCTCCAAGACCGAGTGGCTGTGGCTTCCGGCGTCCCGGTATAGTCAGCTGGTACCATCACTGACAATAGGGGATGAGATCTTGCTCCCCACAGAGAGGGCCCGCAACTTGGGTGTCCTCCTGGATTCACGGTTATCTTTAGAAGATCATTTGACGGCCGTGGCCAGGGGTGCCTTTTATCAGGTTCGCCTGATCCGCCAGTTGTGTCCCTTTCTGGATCGGGACGCCTTGCGCACGGTCACTCATGCCCTAGTTACCTCCCGTATGGACTACTGTAATGCTCTCTACATGGGGCTTCCCTTGAAAAGCACCCGGAGGCTCCAACTGGTCCAGAACGTAGCCGCACGGGTGATTATGGGCACAGCTCGTTACGCCCATGTAACACCTCTCCTACGCGAGCTGCACTGGCTCCCGGTGGTCTTCCGGGTGCGATTCAAGGTGTTAGTTATCACCTTTAAAGCGCTCCATGGCTTAGGACCTGGGTACCTACGAGACCGTCTTTTGCCACCAATAGCCTCCCACCGACCAGTTCGTTCTCACAGGGAGGGACTACTCAGGGTACCGTCAGTCAAATTATGTCGACTGGCGACTCCCAGGGGGAGGGCCTTCTCTGTGGGGGCTCCAACCCTTTGGAATGAACTGTCCCCGGAGATACGGAATATCCCTGATCTCCGTGCTTTCCGCCGTGCCCTCAAGACCCTGATGTTCCAACAGGCAGGGCTAAACATACAAACATGTGAATGATTTTTTTTTTTTAATGTTATCTAATTCTGGGTTTTATTTAATTGACCAAACTAAGTAATAATTTTAATTAGCAATTTTATGATGTTTGTGTGTCTATATTTTTCTTGACTGTACACCGCCTTGAGTCCTACGGGAGAAAGGCGGTATAGAAATAAAATAAATAAATAAATAAAATAAATAAACTGCTTCCTGTTGGGGCCCTAAGGAGCCTGGGCGAGGAGACAAGGAGTGGCTGGGGAGGGGGGTGAATAGAGGCTGGCGAAGCGCCCCTCCATGTGATTGACATCGAGTTGGCCACACCCACCCAGTCACATGACCACCTAGCCATGCCCACCCAGCTGGTCATTAAGCAGATCATATTAGTGGTCCGCGGATTTAAAATTATGAATTTAGTGGTCCCTGAGGGCCGAAAAGTTTGTGACCGCTGTTTTAAAGGATTCATATACTAAACACAAATAAATCATATAAAGATACCCAGTCATTTCCAGATTAAGCCACATTTCCAGCTTGGATTTACTGGCACCCATTGTGCTGAGAAAAGCCACAGCACAGCAGCCAAAAAAATCAACTAATTCACACACTAAAAGAAACAATAAGATGATGGACTCAACCACAACCAACCAAGTAATTTACGCACTAGAAAAAATAATATGAAGTTGGATACAGTGCAAGCATCCATTCAAGCGGTTAAAACGAAGAGTTTAATATGTAACACAACCACAACTAACTCATATACTAAAAGAGACAATAACAAAAACACAACCCTGTTCCATAACTAGAAGAACTCTCTAGGTTCTGATCAGATGGGTACTGTGCCCCGTCGTAACATTTGGGACGGCACATCTCACGCATGCGCATGAACACCCCACTCATCATATGAAAGAACCTGAAGGATCAGAAAACCATTCTAAAACCACGCTAGCAAAGCCATGCCGCTGGCTTTCAGGTTATGATGAACCCGCTCTGAACCACTCTGTCCCAAATTTGGAATCTTGAGTTAAAAACACAAGCAGGGCCTCTTGGTTTCTCTCTTTGAGTCTTGGCGTTTCTTGTTTCCCCCACAGAAACCAATATCGGGCGCTCTCATTACATATGCTAATATATTCGCCGGCAGCCCCGCCTCCGGATACTCTTGGCAACGAGGGGTGCTGTTTTTCAGACAAGGGCTCAATGATTAAGGGAAAGCAGAAGTGTCAAACCTTTGCAGAGGAAATTCTGCAATAGAATCAGCTTCGACTGAGGAAAGCGACATAGGAAAACAGTCAGGAGAAAACGGCGGAGCCGCCGAGGAAACTTAGAGAAAATATAGACTGACTCAAAGTCTTAATTTCCGCTCAAATCCGAAAGCATACGTTTCGTCCGTTATGAGCCCCGATTCACGCAGAATGAAAAGAAAGCGCTTCTTTTCCTATGTTTTTGGTTTAAAGGAAAACACAGTTTCCGGTGGGCCCAAATTGTAGAACTACCGCTCCTCGGAGCCTCTTGACCGTTCCCGTAACACTTTTTTCTGTTACGTAACACTTTTTTCTGTGCTTTCCTATGTCTGAGGAAAGAAGACTACATTTCCGCTTCCGGTGGAAAGCGGCAATCCCGATGGACTTCCGTTTTGCTGCAAGCGGGCTGCTGCTGCGGTTCCTTCCATGAGTCTCGTAGGGATTGGACCTCTCCGGCGTAATCGGCTTGAGTCCGGATGGCGCTGAGAACGATTCGAATTGAAACCCAGGAAATCCAAAGAAGGAAGCCCGAACTTTAAAGTTTGGAGACAGCCGGGCCTGTGAGGCGGGGACTCGGGAGGAGAATCAACGGGAGAGGCTGGGAGTCGGCGCTGGGGAGCGTGAGGCCTTCGCAGGCCGCTATGTCAGGGGACAAGGCCCGTCCCAGCCCTGCGGGGCAGCACCTCTCGGTGGGTCTTGCCACGGGGAACCTGGGGGACCCCGCTTCTTCCCCAGCAGAACAGGTTCTCCCCCGGTTCTTGCGGCTCTTTGGAAGCGGGGCTTCCTGCACAGCCAAGCTGGGGCTCGTCAGAGACCTTTCCGCCCTGCTGGACGCTGCGGACCCTCGGTGGCTGTTTGGGGCCGCTCCGGCCCTGCTTCAGGAACTGGTGGTTGCCCTGAGCCGCTACGCAGCGCCTCTCCAATGGGAGCCACAGGGAGAAAGATCCCCCAGGGAAAACCCTTTTGGTGCAGCAGGAGCTGAGCGAGCAGTGGAAGTCAGCCTGGTTTTCTGCAACATCCTGGCCAAAGTAGAAGAGGCGAAAGACTTTGAGGGGTTGGACTCTGCAGTTACCAGCTCAATCCTTCACCAAGTGGCAGGACCCATCTTCATCTGTGCAGTGACCCATGGGGCAGAGAGGCCATGGACCCAGCCCAGGAGTCAGTGTGGGGCTCAGGAGCTCTTGGATGCTCTGTTGCGTGTTTTGGAGTATAAATCAATACCCGAGTTCCTCAGAGGCACACGTGAAGGTGAACGTGGCTGGTTTGTTGTGGTGATGCAGTGCCTGAAGCCAGAACTAACCAAGTGAGTGAGAGTGTTGATCTCTGAAAACAAAGATGTAGGTTCTATTGTAGCCTAAAATAAAGTCTGAAATGTCCTTCAGTACAGGTACAGTACAGGTCACTGACTACCTGTAATCTTGTAATTGAACTTGACTGTGTGATTGAGCTTATAGATCAGGACACATCATTTGTATAGTTTTACTTTGAAAGAGACCACTGAGAAACCTTATGGGAGTGATGATTTAGGATTGGGAGTATGCTATTTTCTCTGGTCTAGGATCATGTTTGCCTTCAAATGTTCTGCCAAAAATTATCTTCTTAAGAAGTGGATAGGGCCAGCGCTCAGAAGTGAATGTAATCAGAATAAATGGGAGTTTTGATTTTAAACTGAAATAGGATGAGAAATTTCTAGATTGATAATACCACATGTAAAAAGGAATATTGCTGTTGAATATGTCAGCAGTGTTTCATAGTTGCTAAAAAGGCAAATATGGCTTTATTCTGCATCAATACAAACAAAATTCACTTTATTTTCTGCAGTGGCTAAATAATATGGTCCCCTTTAAATACATTTTCAGAAAACTTCAGAGAAGCTGAAATAGGTTTAAAGAAGAGCAAAAAAAGGTGAACTCTGGACTAACAAAAAGAATGTCAGGCTTGGAAGCCATCTTTTGCATTAGGCCTTCAGACCTGCCACATTTACTATTGTGGGAAACAGGGAGGGGGGATTGTATGGAGCAGGGGTGATGTATAGTCATAATAACATTCCTTTCTCAGAAAGTCAAGGACAACTTGCCCTGGACCTGGGAGGCATCTCCAGTTGGGATGATGTTTGATTGGACCATGTGATGGACTTGTGGGTGTTGGGCAGGGACTTGAACTTTTCTTTGGGTGGGGAAAACCTGGAAACTTTCAGATTCAGGTTTTCCCAGATGTGCCAATATGGTATCTCTAATAAAATATAACTTTGAGGAAATTCGAGCCTTGGAGATTTATTTCGTTGGGGATGTTACTTAGAACCCTGACATAGAAATTGAGAAGTAGATGTTTAGGCTTGAGAAAATTCAATGAAGTTGGAATGCAATTGCATTCTCAAAGTACCTGAGGGAACATCATGCAGAGGTTCAAGACCTGTTCTATCTATCATTCCTAAAAGCAAGACCCAGAATAGTAAACTTAAGTTATAGGAAGGCAGTATTGATTGTTAGAAAAATCTTCCAAATAATAAGAGTAATTTGACAGGTCATCCACTTACCAGGCAAAGTAGTGGACTCTTTGGAGGGTGCATTGAAAAAGATTGTACAGAGATGATTTACAATAATTTGGTTTCTTTCATGCCTACTGTGAATTTGAAGTCCAATGAAATGAATTTCAAATAAGTAATTATTTGTTCTTCCTCTTGGCACTATTTTCACTTTCAAATGCAATGAAATCTATATAGAAGTAGTCCCACAAGGTAGAGTTTAGTTTTTTTGTTTTTGTTTTTAATTTGATTTATATGCCGCCCTTCTCTGGAGACTCAGTTCACTGACAAAATCAGCTTTCAAGAAAAATAGTCTCTGCCATCTCAGTTTAAAAGAATCATGTACTAAGGGGTGGGGAATTCTCTTTGTCTAACCCTTATTTTCTTTCTTTGATTCAGAGAAACATGGCAGTGTAACCCAGCAACAAAGTACGTGTTTTGCTTCGTGCTCCAGGAGATTCAGAGACCTTGGCTTGGTGATCACCTGGAAAAAGTTCTGCCACCTTCACTACTGCTGTCAGATGACTACCGAGTAGAAAATAAAATTCTGGGTGTACGGTGCCTACATCATATTATTCAAAATGTGGTAAGGAGAAACTGCATGCCTACACTATTTTGCCCTTTCCCTGCAAAAACATGCAGTGGCTATAGTCTCCTAAATTCTCTTCTCTCCAGACAGATAAATAAGATGGGGGAAATGGCTATTAAATCTCAGCTGATTAGAACAAAGAATTATTCTCCTATATCAGCCTGAAGCAGACACAACTAAAAACATTAAGGTGTCTTGAAAATTGTTTTATGACATTGAAATAGTAATGAGAATAAGCAGCATTAGACAGATAGGGTTAGCGTTAGGGTTAGTCTTTGATTTAAATCACTTATTCAACTCAGTTTTCAACATCCCTATTTCACTAACTCAGTCTTTGTGGAAAGGAGATGTTTATGGCTGCTTTTTTAGATTTAAATGGGGATAAACATGCATAGACAGGAGCTAATAAGTATACAGTATTAATGGAGATAAATATTGTATTTATGCAGAAAAGAGATATATGCAATCTGATTATTTCCACATGCCTCTTCCTCCTAGGAATAGGAGTTTAAATAAGCAAAAGGGAAAACAATATGCAAAACCTAGCATATGAACCAATGCTCTTAAAACTGTTATATTAAAACCTCAGTTGTATGTTTAGTGTCTTCCTAGTCTTCTTCAATTTTAGCATAAATATAACAAAAAAGGAATGATGTTAGATGTGTATTTGCATGTACCTGTAAATTTCATAATGTCATAAAATGATTCTGTTGCATAACCCAGCTAAATATACCTCCAGCTGAGATAATCATATGGATGTACTCTTGTTGCAGCCAGCAGCTGTCCTTGGCCAATTTAACAGAGTTCAGGTTGTGTATCATGCTCTCTTTAACCATCTCTACAGCAGGGAGGCTCAACTTGTGCAGGTAATGTACAGCATAATCCTCTGCAAGTATTTATTCAAAAATAATTGTCATTGATTTTAGCTGGGCTCATTCCTTATCTAAACAACCCTAGAATTTCAGCCTTAACTTTGCTTATACAAGCCATCCCATCTCAACATATTCCGGTCATAGAGAAATGATAAATCTTTAGATTGCTGCTCTCTTCTCAACATCCCTATTTGAAAATGATTAATCCATATTTATCATATAATTGCTGTTGGGCTGAATTTGGACCCCTTGAAAGAAATGCCCTGCAACTCTGCTGTTCCTCTCTTGACATAAAATTTTCTTGTTCTTTTGGCTGCCCAGTTAATCAAGAGATGTACAGAGCATGGCATTCTCAAGACAAGGTCCACTATGGTGTTTGCTGAGGTTCAAAGCTGAATCTTGGATGAGAATGGAGAAGGCTTTTTTAGAAATCTTGCCATTGGTTTTTCTAGAATGGTAATGGTAGTTGTGCTCTGTTTTATTTTAAATTTTTGACTTTCCAGATTCTGTGAATTAAATCTGGGACTTTCTTCACATAAACATCTCCCTAAATGGAAAAGTAAGGAAGACAAGTATTTAAAATTCCACCTTCAAGTAAACCTTTGAGAATTATTTTACTTCTGGATAATTGTGATCAAGCCTGTGCAATAAAAACAGTGGCCGAGTTCACCCAAGGTGTATTTAATATAAATACTGTGTTTACCTGACTTACACTTATTACTTGGGCAAGTGTTTGATTTTGCCAGATTCTGTACAAGACAGCGCACATTAGCTCGAACATATAATTTCAACCACCTGCTAAGTATGTCAGGCTTAGAGGGTGACAAGCTAACTGAGTATCATGGCAGGGAATCTCATGACAGAATAAAAGAAGAGAATTCACCTCTCAGCCACTCTTTCTGGACATCTGTCCCTAGCAGATGCTCAGATACAGCTGTTCTCATCCCTAACCCAGGTTGTGTTGCTGTGCATACTGGACGTGCTGCTAGTCTTGGAAAGAGCCCCACAGCAGTTGTCCCCTAAACCCCGACGTGTCACAGCCTCTGACAGAGTCCTCCAGCTGTTACTGACCCACATGGAAGCAGAGAGCCAGCTTTCTTTGCGGAGAATATATGCCAAGAGCCTGCCTGCCTTTGTTGAGAGGTAAAAAATGCCCCATCTATTCATCTTCATTGCTTGGTAAGGAGGGATGCCCTCTTCTCACATGGCTTCTAATTCTGAACCAATTTGTCTTTTGAGAGGCTCGGCATCCGGATTGTTCATCATCTGAAGCGGCTGCAGCGAGTGATTGTGGGATACCTGGAAATCCCTGATGGACCAGAGGAAGCTGCTCGGATTGCAATGTTAGAAACACTGAAGTATACGATAGAGTACGCCTGGCCTAGGTATTTAAGAAGAGGCATGAACCCTAAAAGCTTTGGGTGCCTCCCTTACAGAGCCAAAGAAAATCGCCACAAAACTTGATAGATGTGTATATATGCATTGTATATCAGAAGGGGAGAATTGTGGAATAAATGATCAGTAATCCTATGAGGCAGAAGCATTTGGGGTACAGTTCAGTGAGGAAAAAAGTCCCCAAACTGCTGCTTTTAGAATCAAAGGGGCATTCATGCCAAGAAAACATGCTGAAAAGTAGATTCTTTTACTCCAGCTCTGTCAATCGGGGTCCCCAACCCTGGGCCCCAGCTATTGGGCCATGGCTATTCAGAACCAGGCCACGCAAGCATGCACTGAGATAAGTTGAGCTACGCAGGTGTGCATGCACACGCCAGCCTGCTGCTCACACATCCCAGTTCCCCTCTCCTTCCCAGCTGGGTCACTAAGCCCCAGAGGTCAGGGATCGCTGCACTAAATAATTGGTCAAGGCTACAGTGGTTATCTTGACTATTATAATGATCATAGGCCATCCTGTGTCAGTAGATCCCAGGCATGTAGCTTTTCCAGCTAGGTTGGATTTGGGTTCCCAGGTACACCAGGGGATCATTTGTCTCCAGAAATAGTCCTACCAACCAAATCTCCATCTTCCTGCCACAGAATGACTTGTCGTCTTGCTATAATTCTCAAGGCTTTGCTGAGGATGATGTGGGATGTGGTCACAGATAGGAGCATCATCCCTGAACCTGTGAAAGCAACTTTGCTTCAGAGAGCCACCAAATGCCTCCTCTTGTTGAATCACTGTTCCCAAGGACAGGTGAAGGTGAGCCAAGTTTCATTCCTAAGGTAAACCGAAGGTGTGGAAAAAGCAACTTAGGTTTTCAACAGAAGAGAAGGAAACTTTGGGGGATAAGTTTGATTTGTATATCTATTTGCTAAGAGTTGATCTAACATGCTCAGAATTCCTCTCATTTCGTAGAAGTCTAAATATACACGTCTATTAAAAACCCATTTAGAAGCATTCTTAATATTCTCCTTTTCTTATTTGAACTTGCAAAGGGACCTCTGAGGATATTTTTCCTGGTCTTAAAAAATGTCCCTCCCCTCCCTTCGGAAGGTATCTCTTCCAGGGCACAGCCTGGTAAGATGACAAGAATTCAGGACAGAAAGCATGAAATCTAATGTGAGAGCATAGACAGTTATAAACTAAGTCAGTATTTTTCAAACTTTGGCAACTCTAAGATATGAGAACTTGAACTTCCAGAACTCTTCATCTCCACCAGCATGGGGAATTCTGGGAGTTTGAAGTCCATCCATCTTTTAAAGTTACGAAGTCTGAAAAGTTTATCAGTGATCTAAGTGTGTGATGCTGCCTGGGAAACAAACAGGACAGAGCAAAAAGCAATAGATAATCTCTTCCTCCTTCTCTGCCAGGTCCTATTGCAAGGAGTCTACCAAAGCTGTGAAAATGAACACCTCAAGGAATGCCTACAGCAAATACAAGAGGATCCTGTCACAAGTTTGTCTGCTGAAAAACTCCAGAGAGATGTTGGTGAAGGGGATGCCTGTTTTTTGAACCTGGACGGAAAAACTTCAGTTTTTTAAGAATGAGAGAATGTTCTTGCTCTTTAACAGTAACAGTAAAAGAAAATAACTTTTTTTTTTTTGCACGTCTGCTTGTTGGGAAGGACAGCAGAAGCAAATACTAAAAACAGAAAGCCACTGTCTCACTTGTTCTAGTTTGCTTATTCCTTCATCTCTTTTATACAAAAAGCCTCCAGGCAGTTCCATGGTGAAGACATGTACAATTATTTCACAGTCCAAGTATTTTTTTGTCCTCAACTCCCAAGTAATGTCTCTTTGGACTTGGACAGAGGTTCCACTTCCTGCTCGTACTCTATTTCAACATAAGCTCGTTTCCGCCTAAATGGCCCTTTCAGTGGAGTTTTCCCCTTAGACTTGGGTTCTAATTCTTTCTCTTCCTCCTCGCTGCATGTCGCCTCCTCGCTACTTGACTCCAGTTTATCCATTTCCTTCAATAGAAAAAAAAAAGGAAGGTTAGAAACAACAGGGAGGCAATCCAAACACATTTTACTTACTCCCAACACTGTATATTTCCTTGCTGCCAACATTCTCCACCAAATGGCTGCACTGCAGGAACTACCTCTGAAAGTCGTTGCTTTCAATTTGAGGTCTCTTTGATCCCCAGAAACAATAAGATTAACATTAAAATTACTTCATTGCTGTTCTTGGATGATCTTGGCGTCTTATAAATTGTTGAATTGCAATCTTCAATGGGCTGCACTTACCTCAAAATCGCTGAGATCACTCTCATCAACTTCTACATATTCCCTCTTGTTCAAATCCTACAAGGAAAGCATAAAAAAAGATAACTGATCCACAGAGCAGTAGCACTTGTTCATGTATAACCACCATTCCTTTCTCTGTTCATATCTTGATTTGTTATCTCTGTCATCTTTGTTCTCATTTTCTGTTGTTTTCTTGTATTTTTTTAACAATTTGTAAACCACTAAAAAGAATATTTTTTACTAGGACTTATGGACAGTCAACTAGAAAAGTCTCATGGACCAGTTTTATATATAGTATACAGCTGTTACATGCACAAAGATGGAAGGCTCCAGACATATCCATAATGAAGATGGCTGAGTGTGCAGAGATGGCTAAATTGACTTGTTTAAGTAGAACTACAGTTACTTTTGTAAAAGGCTGGAAACTCTTTATGGACTTTTTGCTGAAAATCAATAAAAATGAAATGAAACTGAAATGATTTTTGGTTTAAAAGGTCTGTTTATGGGGGGAAAGAACCACAAAATGCGATTTGGAATAGTGGAGATGGCAATTACTATGAAGACACTTTTTTAAATACCTTTTTTTCTTTCTCTTTTGTTCTTTTACATTTTACTTTCTCTTCCTACCTTTTATATTTCTAGTTGTTTAAACTTATGTAAAATCTTATGATAAAATTTTTAAAGAATAATTTGTAAACCATCCAGAATTGCTCAGAATCAGGTAGCATATAAATGTAATGTTGCTTATTGATTTATTTAATATGGGAATCTTTATGGATTTTCCTACCTTTTATGTTTCTGTAGTTTTTTAAACTTATGTAAAATTTTTAATAATAAAAATTACTTAAAAACAATTTGTAAGCGCCCCTCCCCCCCAGTTGCTCAGAATCAGGCAGCATATAAATTTTATTTATGATATTTCAACCCCCAATTCCCAGCCTTCAAGGAAGGAAATAGGACCATCTTTGTGGACACCTCATTTGGGGAAGCAGGATGCATCAAGTTAATGAACCTACTGTACTGCAACCATTATGAAGCTTGGCTTTTTTAACACAATCTAAAGTTCTGGGTTAGCCATAAAGTAGGGCCCAAGACACTATTCTACCATCTTACCCTCCTCTGAAGTGCCAAGTTAGGACTACAGATCCTAGAATCCCCAGACAGATTATCTCTGCCTTCTGGGGGGTGCAATCCTAATTGGTGGAAACTTTATATTTACTGACTGGATGTTTATTCTTTCTGTTACTCTCAGTAAGACCTCCCAACAGAAGAGCAGATTATGACGACGATGCAATAGAAAGCTGTACATTGTAGCCTTTTTTTCCTTCAATACATGCAATCCCCCACTGCTGCAGGTACATATATGTGTTCAGCACTCTTCCCCATCCACTGGTTGAAGAAAATCAGCAAGAATTTTAAAAGCTTTACTTGTTCCTCCTCTGCCTCTTTCTCCACCTCTGAGTCACTTTCGCTTTCAGCTTCGTGCTGCTTCAGAGCTTTGTCAAAAGCATGGATGGGGAAGTTGTAGATATCGCCGTACTAATGAAAATGTCAAGAACAGGAACACGTTAAGACAACTTCCGAAGATCTGTAACAGTGCTAATTTCCACTGAAGTCACTTTAGAAGGCATTGCTGCATCTTGCCTTATAGTGAAGCTTTGATTTAAGGCAGAGGTGTCAAACTCGTGGCATCACGTGATATATCGGGACTTTTTCCCCCTTCACTAAACCGGGCAGGGGTGAGGCCAACACATGACGCATCCGGCCCGTGAGTTTGACAGCCCTGATTTAAGGGATTGAGGGGACCCACTATTCTCAGATGTTTGTTAAATCATAAGTTACATCCTTCACAATGATCTTCATAAATCAAATAGCCTAAAATTAACTGCTTCACCTGGTCTATCTACTTTGACAATAAGATTGGTTCTCCATATGGTAATTTCTAAAGGTTAACTATATGTTTCATACTTTTTTTTCTTTTATGTATCCTTTATTGGAGGGTTTTGGAATCCTGAATAGATTCGCCACCACTATATCTTAACTCTTATTTCTCTTAACAACTAACAGCAGGGGTGTCAAACTCAAAGCCCGGGGGCCAGATCTGGCCCGTGGGGTGCTTAGATCTGGCCCACAGGGCCACCCTGGAAACAGCGAAGGACCGGCCTGCAGTGTCTCTGTCAGCGAAAATGGAGCTTGTGAAGGCTCCGTTTTCACTGGCAGAGGATTACAGGAGGCCATCACAGCCGAAAATGGAGATCAAGGGCCACGGGTGGCACTCCCAAGCTCTGTTTTTGCTGGCAGAGGGTTGCAGGTTGTCGCAGCCAAAACAGAGCTTGGGAGCCTGTTTTCGCTGGCAGAGCGCTCAGGCCACCACAGACACCCCCAACACAAGTGATGTTGGCCACACCGACACTGGCCATGCCCATCCTGGCCCCCCAAGGCCAAACACAACCCTGATACGGCCTTCAATGAAATTGAGTTTGACACCCCTGACTTAGAGGAAGCCTGGGAATCTCCAGTCCAGACTACTTGCCAGCTGTTGAGTAAACTCTTCCTGAATTCCAGGGATTATTTTCTGCTCCCTCTCAGAATCTGTTGCTTAAACTAAATATCACAATTCAGCTCTTGCCTCTGAGACATAAAGGCCAGAGCAGATAAGCTACCTGAGTGCCTTTCCTCCACACTATGTAAATGGCCTGGCAACCCAACTCCTTTTTGATCTTCCTGCTAAGAGATCATACCGTATCTTGCTTGAGTCTCTCCAGTAATTCCTTTTCAATTGCATTGTCCAGCTGAGCAGCAATTAAGGCTTTTTCCTAGTAGACAAAAACAAACAAGTCAACGGGACAGTGGAAGATGAAATACAGTACTATGTGAGAATGGGTTGGTTCCTTCCATCCTCCTCAAAAAAAAAAAAGGCTTTTCCAAAGGCCATTTTTTTAAAAAAAACTTTAGCGTCATGCATATGTACTTTTGGTTATCATGCTCAATACAACTCCGTATAAACAGATACATTCCAAAGGGGTGGACAGGGTGAAATCTTAGCGCTCTAAACTGGAACACCATCTGAGGATTTGTTCATCAAGTAGGCGAACTCCTGGAGTTTATGGGGCAAGGGTGTCCACTAGGTGCCAGCACCCAGAGCTTATGGTCAAAATGTTGCAACAACTAAAAACAGCAGCAGAGCCTGGGAATTTCTACAGGGGCTGCTTTGAGAGCCAAAACAGCAAAGCCTTGCTGGCGCAGCAGACTAAAGTACTATTAAGTAGCACCAGCTGCCTGCAATTACTGCAAGTTCAAATCTCACCAGGCTCAAGGTTGACTCAGCCTTCCATCCTTTCGAGGTAGGTAGAATGAGGACCTGGATTGTGGGGGCAATAAGCTGGCTTTGTATAAAAACAAACACCGCTTGGGGGGGCGAAAGCCCCACTAGGCAGGTATATACAAAAGTATGAAGGTTATTGCTTAACGCATTGTAAGCCGCCCTGAGTCTCCGGAAAAGGGCGGCATATAAATCGAAGAAAGAAAGAAAGAAAGAAAGAAAGAAAAGAAAGAAAGAAGAAAGAAAGAAAGAAAGAAAAAGAAAGAAGAAAGAAAGAAAGAAAGAAGAAAAGAAAGAAAGAAAGAAAGAAAAGAAAGAAAAGAAAGGAATCTGTGTGCCAGATAAGGTGTTTTACCTCTCGTCTTTTTTCACGCCTTTCAATCTTTTTGCTTAACGGAACAAGTTTCCTCCTGAAAGAGACAGATGTTGTCGATAGAACAGATGTCAAGCAAAACCAGGTGTCAAGAAGCTGAAGCTCTCTCAGGCCAGCAACAGGCCTGTCTCACACTTATAGCGGTAAGCCCTGCTGAACTGGACAAGCCTAGGCAATGCCACTTACTGCCTCTTCAGTGTCAGCTTGCGGATTCGGATCAGGTACTGGGTGATCTTGGTAAAGCGCTGCTTGCATTTGTGCCGGATGAAGCGAGGCCAGTAGATGAGATTCTCATCAATCTCCTCTAATGCTTTCTCGTAGTTTTTGCTCAATCGGACCTGCCAGAAATGAAAGAGGAGGAGGCATGCAGCAAAGAGCCATGGTGGCGCAGTAGTTGGAATGCAGTATTGCAGGCTGACTCTCTGCCTACTGCCAGGAATTTGATTCTGACTAGCTCAAAGTTGACTCTGTCTTTTATCTTTCCAAGGTCAGTAAATTGAGGACCCAGACTGATGGGGGCAATATGCTGACTCTGTAAACCAGTTAGAGAAGGCTGTAAAGCACTATGAAGTGATATATAGGTATGTATAAGTGCTATTGCTATTTCTGAGAAAGGGCAACACTAAAACCTGAAGCAGAATGAGAATCTACAATATCAGCAGGAAGCAGGAGAACATTATTTTTTTAGAGATGGGACAACAGGAAGTAAATAAGGGTCACATTCACACCATAGATTTGTGTGCATCAACATTAACTTTCACAGAAATACCGATGGTCGATATATTTTCCAAGTCAATAATGCCAGCAATCAGATCATTACAACTGGACACTTCTTCATGCTTTCTTTACTGAATATCTTTTTTTAAAAAAAGGCTATCATTGTCTACAGGGATAGTCAGTCCCAACTGTAAACTTAAAAGGAATTTTTTAAAAGATCCCAAATTCAGTCCTGGCACATACAAAAGAACTTACTCGTTCCCAGAGCCGATTGGGAAAAGCAGACCGTTCAATGGTCTTCATGTAAAGGTAACATTGTCCTAAAACATGAGCAAAAATAAGCAGTGATATGAAACATTTTGCCACATTCTTACTTACAGATAACAAGCTATCTGCCCCAAAAGCATTAACCCATACATTGTACAGGTTCCTGTGATTGATGCTCACAACATCCCAGCCTTTTCCCAGGAAATTATTTTCAGGGTAAATGCCTTATTCTGGGCTCCATCAATTAAAGAATGCCATCAATTTGGACCTCAGAAGTGCACCTTCTCTGTCACGGCACCTGCCATCTGGAATGAGTTTCCCCCTGAGATTTAAAGAGGTCACACCCTGCTGGTATTTCAAAGGGCCTTAAAAGACCTGGCTCTTCAGCCAGGCTTTTGGTGAGGACAACTGACATCCCTTTCTTTCTTTTCCTTGTTCCCTTTCATGTTTGTTTCCTTTCCTATCTTTTGTCTTGAACTGTTTCTGTATTTTTGTATTATTCTTTGTTATTAACAGCAGTAATCACCCAGTCACTGTCAGCATGTAAATTCGTATACTATTATTGCTTTTGCAGCAATCTAAGCTGCCGTTTAATTTTCTTTCAAATCTTACTATTGATGGACCTTAACAAGTCCTGCTCTATTAAAGCAAAAATACTGTGATATGGAAAAGCCACAGTAAGAACACTTACCTTTCTCTTCCTTAACAGTAGCATATTGACTGTTGGCTAAGGGACAGGATGAGCGATTGCACAGGCCTGTTATATTATATTCATTTCGGCAAAAGCTCTGAGTTTTTGTTCTGTAAAGGAAAAAGTTGTAAAGGTAGTCCCTTTTAAATACCATGCATTATTTCTCATCTTCATTATTGAATATTACCACAGAATCACTAGGCCTAATAACAAACTGCAATCCAGGTGCTTTGGGACTGCAATATCCAAAATCCCCATGGTCCAAATGCACCTTTGTATATAGGAAGAATGCCAAGAAAAATAAATCCTTAAAAATTCACTACTGCTCCCTATGTAGATATACTGTAATTTGAGTAATGCAAAAACACGATTTCTGGATAGTACAAAGATTCTAAAAGGTAAGTGTCCTCAGGTCCCAGTCCTGCCTTTCTACAATTTCTTCAGCAACATAACGAAAGTGGTTTAGCATTACATTCCTCCAGGATGTTTTAAAACTCTCCATTTCAGCAAACAACCCTGGAATTCACAAGCAGTCTCCCATACAAGTCCTGACCAAGGCTGGCCTTGCTTACTGTGTAAAATCAGTCAAAGTGGGCTAGGTGTTGCTTTGAGCTATGGCATTAAGGATTCTACTCAACTGCAAACAGATATTTCTGGGCCGAGATGAGCTGAGGTGATTCAGCAGTTAAAGAATGCAGTATTGCAGGCTAATTCTGCAGATTGACAGCCATTAGATCCTGATCAGTTCAAGGTTGACTTGGCCTTCCATCCTTCTGAAGTCGGTAAAATGAGGACTCAGATTGTTGGGGGAAATATGCTGACCCTATAAACCGCTTAGAGAAGGCTGTAAAGGACTATGAAACAGTCTGTGCTATTGCTATTGCTGATAATTTTTATAACAGTCTCCTTACAAGCATGCTGGTTAAGGAAAATGTGAGTGAATTCATTATTCAAATTCATTGTACAAAAAAATCCAGCCCAAGAGAAAACCACCTGGAGTGTCTCAAATGTTCTGACCATAAATCTCATAAAACCTAATCACTGGCATGGCGCCTGAGATAGATCAATCATGTAATCCAGAACATTAGAAGACACTAGTTATCTTCCCTTCAGTTCTAACCCTTGAATTCAGCATATATAGTAAAAATACTCACTTGATCTTAAACGAGCAGAACTGTTTATTTCCAAGAGTATCCCAAACAATCTAAGAGGAAAAGACAGTGTTACTGATTCTTCCCATTCTTTTCAACTGAAAACGTAGACATCTTGGTGAGGTTCTTTTGGTGAACCAAACAAATTATCTTTTAACAATGAGGTACACTTGATGCCATTGTTTTAGTTTACCGATTTTCATCTTACATTAGCTACCTTGGGCACTCTACTAATAGGGACATACAATTTCCTTAATAAAATAGCAGGAAGATGTCATGTGGCTACAACATCATTCAAGCAGAACAACGAAGCAATGCTGTTCTAGGGATCTACCGTATTAGTATATTAAAATACATATGTTGTATGCAATTGGCAATATGTACAAACAGGGAGCGATATAGACTAAAAGGCCATCAAAGCAAGCATATATAAAGCATATCTGTACCTTATATAGTTGAGCTTTCTATTGAAATGTAAACATGTTTTGCCTTTTTTGTCTTTTGTCTGCAAATTTCCACACACACATTCTGGTTGCTCTCCTCTCCTCTCCTCTCCTCTCCACACCCAGATCTTAATGCTAGAGTCAGGTATACAGCAATAGCATTCTGTACATGCTTAGAGTTAGCGTCTACACCCAGACCCTAATGCTGGAGTCGTGGATAAAACCGTACATGCTACCGCATTCTCTTCTCTTGAGGCTGTAGTTAGGAGGAATAGGGCTCTTGGCAAGTACTCGCCCTAAAAGCTCAATGCAGCCCAGGCGCGTCCAGCCTCAACAAGCTCCGCTCCCACGTGGAAGGAGGAAGCCCATCTGGGAGCGACAGCGCAGCTGGCGGTCCCCGTAGCCTCCGAACGGAACCACGTCCGTTTCCCACAATAACTCCTCCCCGCCCGCCCGGGATCTCCGGTCACCTCTCCCCCAACTCACGTCGTCTGAATGCATCTCACCGCCGCGAAGCAACCGCGCCAGGAAGACGAGGATGGAAGCCTGGACGCGGAAATCTCGCGAGAACTCAGAAGACAAACTCCGCGAGGCAGGGCGACGACTGCGCATGCTCCACCATAGATTTTGGAAGACGTGCGCGCCGTGGTGGAACTTTATCCTGCTCGCTTCTTCCCCTATTAGAAATCAGTTCTATTGATTTTCGCCCACCTTGGGGCCTTATCTCCCCTGACAAAAAAAATCTATTTAAGGCATCTCATATTAAATTAAAGACACTTCTTTTTCTTAACTTGGGGTTAATTTTATGCCAGGATAAGATGAAAACATTACTTGAAAGTCGCTTCAGAGAGATGGATGGAAAAAGCAGACTGGGGCACATTCATGTTCCTAGTTAGGAGTGAGGATGTCTGAGTAGAGCTTGTTCTTGGAAAGATGCAAAAGAGATATCCAAAGCCTTCCAAAACTGGGCAGAGAAGAAAGCTATCTAGGATTGTATAATTGGATGGGTTTTTTTTAATTTCAGGAACAAACAGCATATCTTAAAAATCCCATGGTTGAGAAGTCAAAATGCATGTTTGGGGGTGGGGTGTGTGTGGAAATAAAGCACACCACTTCCATATTGTTTGCAAGAATATTATATAGAGATGTTTATGCAGTCAGCATTGGAGCTTGACTCACCTTTCATCTTTCCATTATAAATCTTGTTTTGTGACAATTGAGACCAGCCTCAGTCATTAAGCAAAGAAGTCATGAAGTGAAAACGCTTCTGTGCTTATGATCTGACTTCAGCTTTCCTTTGCTTTAGAGTCCTGCGAAAGTTGTAAGAGGGACGTTTGGTCATAAAGTTACCTTTTCATCAATATTATAAATGTAAATGGTCACTAAATGAGGCAATTGCTAAACAAGGATGATTTGCATAGGAAACATGAGAGGCCCAATGCTCTTTCTTTGTTTGGCCACTGGGGATGGCAGAAATCCTTGCAGTGGCTTCTCCTGCTTAGAGTTACTAACTGTCTGATAAAAAGAATCCATGTATCCGGCAGGTATAGCTTCAAAATCAAACATTGTCCAACTTTTTGAATATCAAGCTGCCTTTTCTCTGAGGGGCAAATCTTTCTTAATTAGTGATAAGGCACTTTAATACTGTAAGTGACCTTAATTCAAGGGGTCCTTGGTGCTCTCTGAGCTTGGTTATTTTCTTGCAAACGTTCATTATCCAAACTAAGTCACATCATCAGTGCAAAGATTCTATTTCAAACCTGTGTCACAAATATTATTCTTTATGGTTGACCTTAATTTGTTGATTAGTACTCTACCTGCCAGTTTTTGCAACTGCCTGAAACACCTTAATCAGTTACCACCCCCTGAAGACTTTTGCCTCCTAACACTCCAGCACCTTTCTGGGATTGAAAACCTAGCCTTTCTGGTGCTGGAAAAAAATGTAATTTCTTATAGGTCTTTGAGAGGGGCAGCTTTTCACCATAATTTTTGTTGCAGAGGCCAAGAAAATTAAAAGGGTTTCAGCATCCTCCTTTCTCCAATTTCTCCTCTTTTCTAATCGTCTGCAACCTCTTTTGCTTGTTCAGATCTCTACTGCTGCTCTACTTCTCAAGCCAAATTGGTAAATGAATCATAAGGCAACAGGATTGAGCATATTTGATTACAAGTATTTTTTTAATTTCAGGACAAACAGTATAATGGTTATTTCCCTCCCTGCTCCACATGCAAGCAGTCCAAAGAAATTAATGTACAAGAGTGCCTCTGAGTATACCTTCTTTGCTTTCCATCAACTTGATGAGCATTCATGTTTTAAGCTTATTAAAAGTTAGTTCACCAAATAGCTCATACATAGGTTTGATGAACCTGCGCTGATCAATTCATCCACAAGAGGGCATAAACATGCATTTGTAGAATATACCATATTCTATAAAAAATAAATAATAGAATTATACCGTACGTAAAGATGGGAAGGAAAACATAACTAAGAAATATCTTTATTGGGATTACCCAAAATATCACAAAATCTGTGTAAAACAAAATTTTTGAGAATGAGAGAAATGCTGCCTCTAACATTCAAGTATGCTTCCAGCATCATTTATACACAGGCATCTGTAATAGAATAGAATTAGAATAGAATTCTTTATTGTCCAAGTGTGATTGGACACACAAGGAATTTGTCTTCGGTGTATATGCTCTCAGTGTGCATAAGGAGAATAAAATACATTCATCAAAAATAAAAAGAGAAGGAGAGAAGGTCAAAAATGTCAGACTTTGCACTCCTAATATTTTGCACAATGACATCATGAGCCATTTGTTTTCACTAAGAGATCATGACAATCTATAACAGTTGTCACTCTGCCAATAAATGCTTGGAGCTGGGTTGGGCTGCAGAATTGATGGGAAGTGGACAAATGTATCTCAGACTGTTGCTGAGAAAATTCCAAGGACATGTAAAAGCTGAGCTCAACTTGAGGGCAATTTTTCTCTTTCTGCAATGCATATTTTGCTACAGTGCCAATCATGTGGAAGCTGTGCAAGCTCCTATTAAAATCAGTGAGGCAGCTAAGAGTGTTAAGAAAAAGTTCTGTCAAATATTGTTCTGAGATGAGGGTAGAAAGGCCTACAGTACAGTAGGCCTCCCTCTCAGAACTGAAAATCACTCCCTAAATAAACAACTTACAGCCATAACATTCTGAAAGAAATGTCTCAGAGTTTTTTCTTATTTGGTCATTCAACAAGCTACAGCAATGGAGTTTGCCAGGGAAAAATACAGGATACAGTTAATAGAAGAGGATTTGGAAGAGAGAAAGAAGGGGGAAAGTGGATCCCTCTTTTTAGAAATCTGTTTCGTTTTCTTCATCGCTGTTGTCTGTGAGTGGGAACTCTTGAAGGGTCTTTTGAGTGATGGAACTTCTGAACTGCATGGAACACTCCTGGCTTAGAATTGCCTGAGAGAGGAGACAGGGAGAAGGGAAGCAAAAGATGATAATAAGCTTCATTGTTACACCCCGGTAATATCAATCTAGAGTTTGTTTTTCAAAGGATCTGTTATGGTATCTAAAATCACTTATTTCCTCAGCCTGCCCTCCCTCCCTCCCACAAAGAAGAACAATTTGAGAAAAAGTTGAACTTCAGGCTCTTGCTTTAGGACAGTCATCAGCCAGCTCAAAAAAGAAAGAAAGAAAACAAAATGTGAACAAAACCACAGAAAAAAACCCAATTGTTATTAAAGGTGTGTCATCATTTGTGATGTATTTTGCAAATGGAAAAGCAAAACCAAGTATGAGGGATTGTGTTTACAAAGGGGAAGATGGTATGAAGGACCATAGTGAGGTGGCAGTTTCCCTGGATGGAGGGAGCACAATTTGAGGAGGCAGTGGATGAGATAAGACACAACAGGATCCAGAACTGGATCAGGGAAAGAGGAAGGGATTTAAAACAACTATTCCTTAAAATCTCTAAGAGATTTTACAATGAGAGTGGTAAAGGTTGAGATTCTCTCTGTAAAATGTAAGCAAATAAAGAACTAAACTTGGCTAGATTCTTCTATCACCATTCTTGGGATGGGCCTAACATCAATTTTAAATAGATAATTAATAATTAAAAATAAAATAAATTATTAAGAATGGTTAATCAATTAATAAATTAGTTAATAATATTGTCCTTGGATATTCTTTATTCCCCTTGGGGTTCAACCACCAGAGAACCATCACCACCCCATTTTTATTCAAACTCACAATCTTCTCCTCTTTGGCTGGGGGACTTCGTAGAAACCAACACAGAGGCGCATATGCAAAGTTGATCCCTGCAATGATGGCCATGAGCCAAGGGAAGCCAATGGCTCGTATGAGAGCACCCCCTGTAGAAGGACCTGTCAAAAACAATACATTATTCTGACTGTGGAGAACTATCCTTAGTTTAGTCAATGAAGACGGTGAAGGAAGACTGTGCAGCGATTCTCTACTTTTAAAATGTGTTTCTCTATAACGCAGCATAGTTTTCAAGTGTTGTTACTTATTGGCTTGTTTTTGGGCAGAAAATTAAAATGTGAAAAAAAAATGATTTTAAAAAACCTAAGAGTGGATTTAGAGTTCAGGATTCTTTCTGAGAAAAGAATCACCAATCTTTAAAAAAGTAAATTCCGCAATCAAGCAGCAGCATCTATACGCTGCCCAGAAGAATCAGCAATTTGGGAAGAGCTGTAAAAGTGCTGAAGTGCAGATCTCTTTTAGGAATTCATATGTTTCAAACAGCTGGTAAAGATTCCACTCCTTCATTTCTGTTCTTCTCATATAGAGACAATGAACTAAGCATTGTTCATAGAGAGACAAGGAACTAAGCATTCATTAGAGGAGATTCAGTCGTGGGGTCAACATGGGTGACTTCAGCCCAATCACTCCCTCTTTGCCCAGCCTTTTTTTGTGTGGGGAAATTGAAGGAAAGATAGCACTTTCAATTCCTGTATGAATGTCAGGATGTAACAAACACAGTAATTAATTCATAATAATTCCCACTTCTCTATCTTCCAGAAAATTGCATCTTATCAATTCAAAACTTACAAACTTACTTCTAACAAACTAAACATCCATCCCACCCACTCCCTCTCTCTCCAGTTAGACCAAGACTTAATGATGCATGCATAGACTGATTGAAATTCATTTTAAAAAGTTATCCATGATAACATTCTGTGTTGATTGGAATGAGTCTCCTTGAAGCATAACTAAATCTGGCTTTTGCTTTCGTTCTTTTTCTGTCATGCACATGCTAAAAAATGTTATTTTTGTAAATATACGATTAGTCAATTAGTCTTCTAGGAATTGCCAGCATACAGATGAAACAAAAAAGTAATTTATATCATTATGATTCATATTAGTCCATACCAATAGCAAAGCCCAGACAGAAAGCCACATCAGCAATGGCATAGACGCTGCCATAAACAGAAGTATGGCGAAGATCCACCAAGTATCCCATGATAGGCATCATTGATGAATCCACCATGCCTGTCCGCAAAATAAAACATAAAAATCTGATAAGAAATAGCATTTCATCCCCCATTCATGTTTCATGAGCAACAAGCCATGATGCTTCCAAAATATGCTTGCATTCCCTAAATCTGGAATGAAATAGCCATCACAAACAATCTGAAATATACATTGTACTCCCTTCAGTTTTGAACCTCAGAATAGTGGCTCTTCCCCAGCCCCATAGTAAAATCTTCTGCCAAGAATTAATGTGCCTATAAAATTACTCAGCTGGGCTTGACTGCAGGAAGGTTTCACTTCCTTTTCTACAACAATTCAGTTCCATCTGTACCTAGTAAAATTAACTGTCCTGTATTGGTTTGTCACGGGTTATCAAGTCTTTGAAAATCTTACCAAGGGCAAAACCAAGTCCACTGTTAGGTCCAATGAGTCCATAGATATTATGAGCCAGGGGAATCTATGGTGCACAAGAGAAAGGACTGTTATTTCTGATGAAAACTTAAGATGTCAAGTTCAAAGTGTGATTATGCTGTTGCAGCCATTTTCGCTTCTCAGCTTGCCACAGAACCAGGGGGAGGGAAAACTAGGTTTGGAATGCCAGTTCCAGAAGATGGAGGGGGAGTGAAGAAACTAGTCTTTAACTATGCTAAAACTGCTGTGCTGAAATGATGTAGTCAATAAAGTTTTGCATTAAGTTTTGCATTAAAGTTTTGCATTCGTCTCAACAGTGCTTGCTTGCTTGGGTTTGTCTGTTGGAACCTTGACATTAAACCAGCTCTGCCAAAATCCAACTAAACAAACCAAAATTTGGGTCCCTGAGTCCCAGCAGCCTGTCCAGTCACCTCCGGAAGAGTGCAAAGACTCAGAGATGATCGCAGAGATGGAGTGCAAAGGAAGTCCCAAGGGCAGCCCAGGCAGATTTTGGAACCCAGGCGATAGCAACCTGCCCGAAAGCCCAAATGGAGAAAGTCAAGTGATAGATAGTGCGGGACGAGGGCACGGCACCTGGGGAACTCTGCCAGGCAGAGGAAGAATTCTGATGGAGCAGAGCACCAAAGGCAGCCAAAGCCGAGTTCCCATTGATTTCCCCTAGAAAGAAGAAACTTTCTTCCTAAATCAGGTGTGAGCACACCTAGACCGATACGCCCTGGCATACCCTAACAAGGTAACGATGGTAAATGTCATTGTCACTAATCTCGAAGGGGATGCAGCAGATTGGGTGCTGGAGCTCCACCACAAAGGGACACTGGAATTAGGGAATGCTGATGCTTTTCTGGTGGAGCTCAGACCCAAATTTGAGGATCACACTAAATCTGGCTAGCCGAATAGGAGATGCAAACCATCGGGCAAGAGAAACGACAGGTAATGGAGTACATTTGTGAGTTCTGGAGAATTGCAGGGAAACTGAGGCACCGGCTGGAGCAGCTGCTGGTCTACCATTTTAGAGATGGCTTGAATCAGGAGCTCTTCCATACCTGCTTGACCCAGGGAATATCCAACTGGATCCGTGACTGGTATCGATTGGCGACAGTGGTGGAACTCAATATAAAGGAATACAAGAGGCATGGGGGAGTGAAATCTGGCCAAAAAAGAGTCAGAAGTGACGTCCATTGGGAAGGAGCCCACCACCTGTATCAACACCAGCCCCCTGGAGGCCCCAAGGCACATATCCATCTTGTGCTTCCCATGTGGCCAGGAAGGCCATCGAGCAGCTGTGGCAGTGGTGAAATCTGAACCGGTTTACAACTGGTTTGCTGGCCACGCATGTGTGCCATGCGCCAAATGCGCACTGTGCATGTGCATGCGCAATGCACACAAAATGTGAGCTGTGAGCACTCACGCACAGTGCGTGCCAAAAGGAGGCTTGGGAACATAAGTAGAACAGTGCAGGGGGGTGATCAGCTGTGGAGTGTGTGGGAACCTTTTTGAAAACTTTTTAAAAGCATTTTTTTACTACCGGCTCTGGCGAATACGTAGTAAAAAACTGCTTTAAAAAAGTAAAAAAAAAAGGCTCCAGCTATCGCGCGGCGGAAAATGCACCATATCCTGTAGGTCTTGGGAATATTATATACAACAACAAAAAGAGAGAGGGAAATGGAGTGGAGTGGAAGGGAGTAGGAGAGGAGGGAAGAAAGAATAATGGTAGAGAGGGAAAAGAAGAGAGGGAAGTGGAGGGGAGGAGAAAAATAGAAAGGGAAGGAGAAGGAAGCAGAGAAGAAGAGAAAGGAGAAATAGAGAGGGGAGAGGAGAAGGAGAGAAGGAGAGAGGGAAATAGAGGGAAAAAGAGGAGAAGGAAAGAGGGAAGTAGAGAGAAAGAGAGGGGAGAAGGGAAGAGGGGGGGAGAAAGAAGAGGAAAGGAGATGGATTGTTATTGTAAAATTGGGAAATGTGTACAGGAGAATGTGTACAGGAGAAAAGAAAACAGTTTCTTATTTTTTTCTACTTGAGGGTTATACTATTGAAATTATAACAAAAGATAATACAGTGGACGTTAAAGCATATCTATTTAGATGTTATTGCATACTTGTTAATATTTATATGAAAATAAAAGTTTTGTGTAAAAGATGGGGTAAATAATATGGAATAAGGAAAACGGAATGTAATAATTATGAATATGTTTATCTGTATTGAAATGTATGATACTCAAACACCACGCCATCCACATAATGATATGTATAATTTTAAAAAAAATAAAAAAATAAAAACTTGATGGGAAAAAAAGTATGATTATGCTGTTGCAGCCATTTTTGCTTCTCAGCTTGCCACAGAACCAGGGAGGAGGAAAAACTAGGTTTGGAATGCCAGTTCCAGATGACAAGAAGAAATGGTGACATGGGAACCAAGGTCATCTAGCCAGATGGTCGGCAAGGACCTGGACAAGGACCATAACAAGGTTAAGAGCCTTGGTGGCGCAGCAGACTAAAGCACTGTTAAGTAACACCAGCTGCCTGCAATTACTGCAAGTTCAAATCTCACCAGGCTCAAGGTTGACTCAGGCTTCCATCCTTTCAAGGTAGGTAAAATGAGGACCTGGTTTGTGGGGGCAATAAGCTGGCTTTGTATAAAAAAGAACACCGCTTTGGGCGGGGGCAAAAGCCCTACTAAGCAGGTATATACAAAAGTATGAAGGCTATTGCTTAACGCATTATAAGTCGCCCTAAGTCTCCGGAAAAGGGCGGCATATAAATCGAACCAATAAATAAATAAATAAACAAATAAACAAATAAATAACAATACCTAGACGTCTAATTGGACAATGTGACCTGCACTAATGGAGGGGGGAGGAAGAAACTATTCTTTAACTATGCTAAAACCATGGGAATGAAGTAGAACTGGTTTTGGTTTCAATCTGTGCTGAAATGATGTAGCCAATAAAGTTTTGCATTAAGAGATTGGATTGTCTCAACAGTGCTTGCCTCCTTGGGTTCATCAGTTGGAACCCTGGCAGCAGAAATATTGATACAACATGTGGCGAAGGTTGTTGAGAGTGTGGTGGCACAACAACTCCCCCAGTACCTGGATGAAGCTGTCTATCTAGATCCGTACCAGTTGGGCTTCAGGCATGGAAGCGGCATTGGTCGCATTTGTTGATGATCTCTGGAGGGCTCGGGACAGGGGTTGTTCCTGTGTCCTGGTCCTATTGGATCTCTCAGCGGCTTTTGATACCATCCACCATGGTATCATGCTGCACCGGTTGAAGGGGTTAGGAGTGGGGGGCACCATGTTGCGGTGGTTCTTCTCCTTCCTCTCTGACCACACGCAGTCTGTGTTGGCAGGGGGACAGAGGTCGACCCCAAGGCACCTTGTTTGTGGGGTGCTGCAAGGGTCGGTCCTCTCGCCCCTCCTGTTCAACATTTATGTGAAGCCGCTGGGTGAGATCATCCGTGGTTTTGGGGTGAAGTTCCACCAGTACGCTGATGATACTCAGCTGTACATCTCCACCCCGGACCACCCCAATGATGCCCTTGACGTGATGTCCCAGTGCCTGGAGGCCATGCGGATCTGGATGGGGAGAAACAGGCTCAGACTTAACCCCTCCAAGACTGAGTGGCTGTGGTTTCCGGCGTACCGGTATAGCCAGCTGGTTCCATCGCTGACTATTGGGGGTGAGATCTTGGGCCCCTCAGAGAGGGCTCGTAACTTGGGCATCCTCCTGGATGCACGGCTGTCCTTAGAAGATCATGTGACGGCTGTGGCCAGGGGGGCTTTTTATCAGGTTCGTCTGATTTACCAGTTGCATCCCTTTCTGGACCGGGACGCCTTGCGCATGGTCACTCATGCCCTCGTCATTTCCCGTCTGGACTACTGTAATGCTCTGTACATGGGGCTCCCCTTGAAGAGCACTCAGAGGTTCCAGCTGGTCCACAATGAGGCCGCGTGGGTGATTATGGGAGCGACATGGCGCACCCATGTAACACCTCTCCTGCGCGAGCTGCACTGGCTCCCGGTGGTCTTCCAGGTGCGATTCAAGGTGCTGGTTACCATCTTTAAAGCGCTCCATGGCTTAGGACCTGGGTACTTACAAGATCGCCTTCTGCCACCGATAACCTCCCACCGGTCAATACAGAGAGGGACTCCTCAGGGTGCCGTCGGTCAAACAATGCCGACTGGTGACTTCCAGGGGGAGAGCCTTCTCTGTGGGGAATGAATTGCCCCCGGAGATACGTATGATCCCTGACCTACGCACTTTTTGCCGGGCCCTCAAGACGCTATTATTTCATCAAGCTGGGCTGGCCTAAATACTAAATTTTAATGGGTTGTTTCTGTTTTTAACACGTGGCAGCCAGATTATTTAATATGTTTTTTAAACTGTTTTTTAACTTTTATATATTTGTTGGTTTTATTTTTTGGCTGTGCACTGCCCTGAGTCCTTTGGGAGAAGGGCGGTATAAAAATTTAATAAATAAATATAAATAAATAAACATTCAATCATTAGACAGAATGAGGTGAAGTCAGCTCCAATCCTTAAAACCTCTTAAAAAACCCTCAAAATGTACTTTTCTATCAGTCCTGAGCAGGGGTGAAATCTACTTACCTTCCCTACCAGTTCAGAAGTGCACGCACCATGCATGCACCCTCTGCGCATGCGCAAACCCTTCTATGCATGCACAGAGGATAAAAAACAGGTTACTTCCTGGTTAAAACCAGGAAGTAATGACGACCGGGCAGGTGGGTGGAGCCTCACGCTGCCGTCACTACGGTTCAGCCGAACCAGTCTGAACTGGTAGCATTTCACCCCTGGTCCTGAGGATCTCCTGGCACATTACACCAAGATATGATTTGTTTAGTCATGGTTTAATCAAACTAACTGGAGTACACAATAAATCATGGTTTCTAAACTATAATGAGTTGATTTGCATAAGACACTAAGGAGAATAAAACGTGGTTGCTTAGCTAGGTTTATGTCCTAACCAGGTCAGATTCTAGTTAATTTGAAGGAGTTCACTAGACTAGAACCATGAAGGTCCAGAGAAGAAACTGGTGACCTAGGATGGGAAAATCACACAAGAAATGGGTGAAAGAATGTGAAAAAAAAAATTTCTTCACTTTTAAATTTTCCCATGTTTTGCCATTGTTTACTAGTATATATCTTTTCTCATAAAATTCTGTTAGGATGCAGGCTGCCACCTCCATATCCTCTTTGAAATTCCTGTGCTACCTGCAACAATGTTGGCAGATATTAAGCTGGAATTAAGACTTTTTGCTTGGTTTCTCCAATTTTGGGTTATGCAATGTGTTGTCATACTCACACAAAGGAGGCTGACTCCTATGACCATCATCCCAATCAATGAACACAGCCATCTGCCAAGAAAAGCAATGAACAAACAATATTGAAGGCTGTTTGAAAGTTTCATCTTGCAAATTCAATAAAGCCATCAATACTGGGATACCTTTCTTTGCAGAAATTAGCAATAGATTCCCCTGTCAGAAGTGTCCTAAAATACCTGCAATAAATCTCTGTGGAATTCTAACCAATAGGTAGGTAGGTACAGTAGGTAGGTAGGTAGATCTTTTACTGCAGTAAGCTAAAGAATGCAGGATAGATATATAAGGGAAGGATAGATAGATAAGGGTTAGGAATGGATGGAGATGATAGATGATAGATAGATAGATAGATAGATAGATAGATAGATAGATAGATAGATGATAGATAGATAGAGTTAAATCCTGATTTTTTTTCTCCTGTACATCACAAAGGAAACACTCCCAAGAATCACTCCCTTCTTCATGACAACACCATCGAAGATGCAACTGTAAGGATCTGCCTCTCCTCCTTTCCCAAGAAAGTATATAGACTTTTGTAACATGGTATTTCAAAAGGAACCTTTTATTGAAAAGAAGTGATAGCAGAACAGGCAAAGCAGACTCTAAATTCCTTCCCAAACTACACAGTTAGAAATAGGGCTTTAGAATCCCTCCCTCCTATCCGAATGTGGATTTAACCAATCCAAAGGTGTGAAGATGTTTATTGTAATGGCCGTCTTGAGAAACAGATAAGGAGCCATTCCCAGGATCTTCTTCCACCTTCAGCAAACTGAAACAATCCACATGGCCCTCCCTCCTTATTACATTCCAAAAAAGGTGAGAATACTGCAGGGCACTTAGATGCCAGGAAAAAGGTTATAAAATATAGCTTATCCCCATGCTCCCCCCTCCCTCCATTTGAATGGCAATATCATGTTAGGGATCTGACAGCAACAATAATTCACAATACTTCAACATTCAAAAAATTTTTGAACTTCTCTACTTACCGCCCCATTTTATTGGCCAGTATCCCAAAGAGATTGGTCCCAATTAGATAAGAGATACTGGCGGGCAGAAAAGCTACACCTGTAAAACAAAAGAAAACCATCTGAAAGGAAGGCACACCATTTCCAAGGACAGAAGTCCCTCCTGAGCCTTTGCTTAGAATCCTATTGTGTATGTGTGAGTTTATGTGTCTGTACACAAATTAGTCGAATGCAAAAGAAAGACATATTCTTCAACAAAAATAAGGAACCAGAGTGTCACTCCAGGTTGTCCTATAAAGAAACTCAGTGTTCAGTTGAAAGTAGACAATGTATGGAGCTCAGTTCTAACAAAAGATACTAAGCATGATAATTCAACTCAATCTTTAGAGGCAGCATCCAGTTGCTAAGAAATAGCTACTTCCTGGCTGAACTACAAAATTTATCTAGTGCTTCATAAAATTCATTGTATTCAAAACAAGTTTCATGGTCAGGTCCTTGCAGGCATTGACCTACTCTATATTAAGCCCATCCCTTCCTCCCTCATTTCTACTTTACATGCTGCACCAATCAAAGAATAATTTGCTTTGCAGTTATAATTGAACCAAAAGCAAATATTTGACAGGCTGTTGCTTATCATTAATTTATTCTCCTGCATATGACATATGTTATCACCAGCAAGCATCTCTGTTTGCCTGAAAATGACAGAATTGGTTTATAGAAACTTTGTTTAATTTCCTATAGAATTTTACTTGTTTTGCAGGTCCTCTGGGGAAATTTACATTCTTTTCATTTTGCTAAGAAACAGCAGGTTGAGCAAATTAAAAAAAAAAAGTATTAATTGTTCAAACTACTCAGTGTGTAAATTTCAGCCAATAGTGTCAACCTGATTTTGTAGCATATCTTTTCAATGTATTTATATTGCATATTGAAGATCCATTGTATATAATTATAAGGTTTTTTATTAAAGAAATAAACAAAAGTGTTCTAATATTTATAATTGTGAGTTGGGGATCCTTGAATATGAAATGAAATATGATTCTTTTATAGCTGAAATGGTGTTGAAGTGCAATTCTTAACTTCCCCATCCATTAAAAAAATCATAATCTGAGCCATGTGGAGATGGGTTTTTTTTTTAATTAGTCTGCTCTAAATGACATTAAATCTGGATCTCATCCATTGCTGTTTCAATTGTTAAGCAAAACTAATACATGTTTTGGCTTTCCTTTTTCCATGAAATTCATCCTGGTTCAATTTTCATTTTATCTTCATCTTTACTTGGTAGATTAGAATTGACTAAGAAAGAAAATGTGGCTCAGGGTCACTCAGTGAATATAGTGACAAAGCAAGGATTTGAACATCTGTGCAAGAAACAATGACAAGTGGTAGACAAGAGCCAAGAGTTTCTATTGGTGATGTGTCTTTGGTGATGTGTCAGTGACTTAGGGTCACTGCTATGAGATGGACAGTTTTATAAATCAAATAAATAAATAAGTGTGCCATTTGGCTCAAGATCAAAGCATTGCTCCATTTCCCCCACCCCAGGTCTATTCAGGAAGAGGGAAGCACCTGGGAGAACAAGCTAGGATAGACTCCAGCATAGACACTTTAAATTTCTGCTATATTTTGTGAATGCAAGTTATCATTTTAGAGCTCTCCAAGGTCCTGAAATACCGGTTTTATCAGCAATCCTTAGATCCATAATGGCAAACCTATGGCACGCATGCCACAGATGGCATGCAGAGCCCTCTCTACGGGCACACCAGCCACCGGTCCAGCCCAGCTCCACTGTGCATGTGCATGCTCCTCCCGCCAGCCAGCTGGATTTCGGGTCTCTGCCGCGAAATGGGGCATAGGGTGCTGAGTGCTAACCTTTTTGGTGCTGAGTGCCCAAGACGCACGCGCATGCCCGAACCCCCAAAATGCAATGTGAGCACCCCCTGTGCATGCATCCTGGCCCCCATGCATAAACCCCCCACATGCACCCCGGCCCCCGCACCCCCCATTTTGGCTTCCAGGTTGGTGCAGGAGGCTTTCCAAGCCCAAAATCAGGCACAGGGGGTTTGGGCCTGAAAAGCCTCCTGCACCAACCTGGAAGCTAAAAGGGGGGTGCGGGGGCCGGGGTGCATGTGGGGGGGTTATGCATGGGGGCTGGGACGCATGCGCAGGGGGCACTCACATTGCATTTTGGGGGTTCGGGCATGCGCGTGCGTCTTGGGCACTCAGCACCAAAAACGTTAACCATCACTACCTTAGATGATTAATGTACTGCACAGAATGTTCCTTCTGGTAATGACCAGAGGAACTGCTCAGATTCCTACTACTTGGGGATCCACATATTTATTGTTTGCATTTTTTTTAAAAAGAAAATCAATGTAGATTCTACCAAAGGCATTCAGGATAAAACAAAGGTGCCATGCACAAGTGAAGCAAAGCAAATATCAAGGGATATAAAAATAAGGAGAATGGATATAGGAAATAAATAATGGGACAATATTCCAAAACTAGGGTAGCACAGGTCTAGAAAGATTGTGGAGAATTTGTCTTGCATTGATGTGTCTCCAGTCTCAGAGTGGGCACCACTTCACCATCATCATCCCTATATTTGCCATCCTCTTGATAACAACTTCACCCATCTCCCCCTTGCTGTTTTTTCAGAAAGGCATAAAGAAGGTGGCAAGTCATCCTCAAAGACCCTCCGTCTTATCAAGAGTTTCTCCTGGCTGCTTAGTTTTAGCCAGCCTTTAAACTGATTAGCAACCCTCAGTCACTCGGCTAAGCCAAGGTAGCAATTCAATTGTGGCAGAAAGTGTCATTGAGAGCATTAGTCTTCCATAAATTCAATTTCAGTGCCTTTTACAGAACAACACAGTTATTTCATCTCATTATTCCATCTCTGTGGTGGCACATAATTGCTGTATGCTGAATCACCAACTCTCTGCCTCTAAAGAAGCTTTTTCCTTAATCAGTAGGGAACTCTTCAGTAACCATAGGCCCACATTTCACTCTTTCTTTTTCTTTCTCTCTCGACTGTATCAGTTTTCATTAATAAATAAAGAAAGACCTTTTTAAAAAATTTAATATTGCATTACTCATATGCATCAGCACGCATGAGCCTACAGGTGCTGCTGCCAAGATGACACTGAATGATAAGGCAGACAGATATGAGACTAGGAATAAAGCTGAGAGACATACAAATCCATACAAGCATTAGAAAGATCACTGTGGTTTGGGCAAGGCTGCAGCCCAAACAGGAAATTTACAATAGCATTTCTTTTCCAGGTGAGGCTAACAGCCAATCTGCATGAACAGGTCCCATTTTGAGCCTGTTTCATACAGGAAAAAATTTATGATTCTTCCAACTTATTCAAAACTGATGCATCAAAAATACAATACAGTGCCTCTTTGTGTAACTAGTGAACACCCTGAATACTTTGTCGATATCACATTGTATTGAGGCTCTGTCTACTTCCAGGGCTCCTGCTACCATCTCCCCCACGATCTCGTCCAGTCTTTCTCCCTTATCTTCTGTCACGTTCTGGAGCCTAAGAAAAAAGGAGGATTTTTCCATCTCGAGAAAGATGATCTCGTCTTCAAGCTCCCTGTTAGGCATCACTTGTTTTTTTCCCATCCATCTATCCGTTGTTCACACCTTTCTGTCCTTGTCTCCACCTCCCACATCCTTTCCTCCTGTTAAATTATTGCCTGTTGCAGTTCTCCAAGCCTCTCACCCATCGGCTAGATCGGCTAGACAATGTCGGCTGGCGACTCCTAGGGGTAGAGCCTTCTCTGTGAGTGCCCCCACCCTTTGGAATCAATTTCCCTTGGGGCTCCAGTTGGCCCCTGACCTTCACACCTTCCGCTGTGAATTGAAAACCTGGCTATTTATGTCCCCCGGCCTGGACTGATCGGGTAGTATATTTTAAAAAAAATTTTAAAAAAAATTCTTGATTTTTATGTATATTCGTTGTTTTTAACAGTCGCTTGGTCAACTGTTGTTGTGAGCTGCCCTGAGTCCTTGGAGATAGGGCAGCATACAAATTTTATAAAACATTTTAAAAAAATAAATAAAATAAATAAATTTGCTTAACCTCTTCTCTGACTCCTCCCATCTCACTCTTAACATCCGTTCTCAAGTCTTCGAAATTCCTAAACTTCATTTCCTGATTCTTGGTCATCGAATCCTGGATAGTCTGGAGCATAGCTTGGAAAGCCTGTATAGAGGAAGACTTTCCAACCGATGACATATCTTCAGCAGATCTTGTTGAAGCCAATGGAGATGCAGGTGCAGGGAAAGCCAGGGTCTTCTTATTCACTTTAGTAACCGTAGACGTTGTGGACATTTCTGGGTCACGCCAGAATTTCTTCCAAATCAGCATAGGCTATAACCCTTAAAAAACTATTTCCAACACAAGCCAGTTAATTCTCTTTCTCAGTGACTCAGATTTTCTCTTCCCTGCTGTACCAGTTTCAGCCACAAGGTGGAAAAAGAACTCTTCCAGTTGTAGACAACTCCAACAATAACGATCAGAAAGCGAAAGGGAAAAATGTGAAGTCACTATGTATCCCTCAGTCCAGCACGCACCAGGAGCTCTTTAAACAGAGAAATCTCAAGAGAGTCTCAAATAAGAAGCCAAAAGGAAATAACCACGGCTAACTCCAATCACTCCACTGCCACTGTTCCCCAAAAAAAAACAGCTGGCTCCACACCACAAAAGTAAAAAATGGCCAGTCTTCGCTCCACTCCAGCCGCTCACTTTCACTTGGCCAATACAGTTCAAAGAGGCTAGTATTGTTCTCTTCTCTTCCACTCACTCAGCACAGCAATCTCAGTCCAATAGTTTACACTGTGACAGATTGGCTTTCCTTTCCAAGAGGATCAGTCACTACTTCGGAGAGGCATTCTGCCGCCTCTTCCTACAAAGGCACCCCAGGGGGTTTCTTCAGTGTGTGGAAGATGCCACCTCCACACATGCCTTGGTATCCTCTCTCCTTCGCAAACTTCTATGTGGTTTGCGATGGCTAACTAAAGCCGCCGTTTGTAGAAAAGGGAAAGCTGGATATAGAGCTTTCACTCTTTCCAGCCATCCATTGCAGTGACGT